CTTTTTCTTTTTTTCCCTTGGAAACACTTGCATACAGCGTGTCCCGAGCAGTTAAAAGTGGTTCCACCGTTTCGCAATCGACATCGGTACTTAATTTCTTCGATTTTTTTGATAAGTTTTTAACAAACTCGACCGATTGTGGGAAGGATTTTATCTAGACAGTAATTACTTGTGCAAGCAGGAGAAAAGTGTTACGTCTTTTATTAATTTAATTCAAGAGATTAAATCCAATTATATTGGAGGCAAGAGTCAAAATACGAATGATCAAACATTTTTATCGCACGTAAAATCAAATGTTACAGACGTTTGATTAAACATTCTGACTACGATATTACGTGTTAAAATAGTTTGAAATTTTTCGAGAAAGTTAATAATAATATCGATATTAATCGATTATATTTTACTTAGTTTCGGTAATAAGAGAAAAGATTAATTATAGCGTGTGATAGTATAATTCTGTCAAAAATTGCGACATGCATGTAAGTAACGTTGTTGGAATGTAATCGAAAATTGATATGGCCACAGGTAGATGATGTTATCACAAGCCAGTATTTAAACATCTCTTCGAGAACGATTACGATCAAATTAATCGGGAAGTGTCGAGCGACTTGATTTGGAAAGTAGGGTAAATCGTCTACACAACGAAAATCGAGAAAGTTGTTCAAAAATTCGCTCGTTGAAGTGTATGTATCTAAAAATAGAATGCAGTTCTCTGCACGTTATCTGCTTTTAGAGGGACTAAGGGATATAAACTAAAAAAAAAAATCTATTTAAAAATTTATACGGTCTGTCACTTTTTATAGTTATCTCTCCCATTTATACAAATTTTGTCTATACGTGTATCTCTATTATTTTTTCTCACATAGAATCGATTTACACGTGGTCTGAAGTCCAAAAATTTTTCACACCGAAATTTATGCATCATATATTTTGTCTCGAGAACTCCTTTTCGCTTTCTTACCTTAGAATCACGATGGATAATTGTCACACGTAGATAAAGTCCGTAAAAATATCGAATCTAGTACTGCTATGAGATAGAACTTTCGATAAAGATACTCGCGTCGGAGATGCTTTCTAGGAGCGCACATCACGGGAGAAGATTTCGAACCGAATGATGCAACTTCTTATACAATCTTCGCATCTTCCCTATAATCTCGCGCCCTCTTTCCGCGGAGCCCTTTAACGCGTAATCGTAATCTAGAGATGATATCAGTCAGCCTGTAAACTACGATAAGGAAATATGCAACATGAAAACGCGAATCGCGAAATGGATTGAAGTTTTCGTTCTTTCCTCCTATTTTGCTTCTTCCTTTTTTCTTCTTTTTTTCCTTTTCTTTTCTTTTCTTTCAAGGCATTCAAGAATATTTTCAAAAAATAAAAAGGTTTTCTTTTCCTCTATATTTGTAAGAATACGTTATATTCTTTCCAAAAAGCAAAAAAGACGATGTGACATGTTCTGAAAGAAAGAAAGGAGGAAAAAAAAAAGAAGAAAAAAAGAGATCCAAATGATTATCAGATTTCACCGAAGACTTTCTTCTTTCTTTTCCAAAGAAAATACATCGTCATAAACGACCAAGCTGTTGATTGACAGTCCGAGAAACTAGTCGATAACTCTGACTTTTATGGCCTGTCATTCGCGCAATAGCGTGATACAGCGTAAAAGAGGGTAAAAAAAATAGCTAGAAAAACGGATTGATCGAGGATCCACAAAGGTTGGGAAAGTCACAAACTTACCATTTCTTTTTCACTTTCTCTTGGAGTCTGGAAAATGACACTCGACGTTTACTACTATTAATTCGACAGTTTGTCAGCAACGAATAAAAATACTGACTGAGCGTAGAGGAACAGTTATTGACACATTTATATATTTCGAATGTAGGAATGGGCGCCCTCGCTTACATCCGATTGGACGAGACAGCGAGGAGTAGGGCAAAAAACCACACCAAACAATTGAATTCATTATCCCCGCGTCTCGTTTGTGCACATGTAATAGTCGTATCCAATTTACTTCCACCCTCATCTATGCCCATCATCGATTTTTACTTCGATACAGCCACTGCGATAATTACTTTTATTGAAACTAATCGTACCAAGAAAGAGGCGTTCACAATTACCCCCAACCAGTCTCTTCTCGGTTTAGATCCAACCGGTACGAAACGACTGTCGAAAATTCAATTTGTCGAGGTGTTTAATATGAAAACACGTGAAACGAACGAACCACCGTGAATGATGAAGCTATGATGAATAATTGTGTGGTCTCTCTGATTAATTGAAAGAATATCGTATAACGAATTGATCTTATTGAATTCGCCGATGCCATTGATTTATCAGCAAGTTCTAAATCATTTTTAATGAGCTTCTTCTCTAAAGTCATCGAGCAACTTTTGAACTTTAGCTAAAATTAAATATTTATATAGGATATGTTGCTTTAATATGTTTACGCAACATACACAATAATTTACGAGGACAATAATTTTTAAGGATATTTCTCACTTTTCATTTATATGTTTTATTTTTCATTTTTAACAAGATTATATTACTTACGGTATATCTATAATCATTGATTTTATCTGTATACACTCATACATAAAACATAATGGTAAAAAATTTAGTTCGTTCGGTTCTTCGTAGGTCGAATTCTTCGAATAGATAGCGTATCGGTATGCCATGGGAATAGGGAGCTTGGAAACTAGAAAATTTCTTATGGTATGTGTTATATCATATATGTATACGTATATATATAATTCAATGTGTGTATTTAATACACGTGTGAATATATAATTTTAAGAATTTGAAAAAAGAATCGAAATTAGAAATTATTAATTCGATTATGAAACATTCAAATATGTATATGGGATAGAGTTAAATTATTTCAAGTTGAAAAATATGACCATAAATATAATAATATTTTATGTTCCACAAATCTACGAATTAATAACTTAAACTCATTATTAACTTAAATTAAAATAAAAAAATATTATGTGAAATGTTATATATTTTATGTCAATTAGGATAAATGATAAAAAGAATAAAATAATTCAATCGATTATATATCGATGGGAATGAAATACATTTAATCGTATAGTGTGTGTATAGAAAATAAAATGAAATTACATTTTTTTTAATAAGCAAACCTCTTCCGAAAAAGATACATTTTCATGTGACATGTGTCGGTCTTTTCTCAATAGACCGCAGATTTTTCAATTTTCGTCCATTATTTTCATTAGTTCATGTTTGGACAGTTTGATTACCTACTGAGATAATCTGCAATCGCAAATTACAATCAGTGGATATTTTAGTGTCAAGGATGATCGAAAAGAAATGTCATCGATTTATTGCGTTATATTATGTTAAGAGGGACAGTTTTATTTAATCGCACATATAAAATTTCTAAATATTTATAGAAAATTAATGTAATTTAAGTTTTAGAAGAAAAATATAGGTTTGAATATTTCATAATAAACGTATTAAAAATGTACAAAAACTTTATTTATGCTGGTTTGTTTATTTATACATTATTTAACATTGAAATAAGTGGTTATATTTCGTTTGATGTTGATTCTATTTCAATTGCATTTAATAATTTAGCTGTATTAACGATATCTCCCTCTATATTTTTTAAATTTGTATCAACTTCTTTTATACCTTGTAATACATCTTGCAAAATCTGCGAATTAGTAAGAACGAATTATTATGTATATTATAGTATATTGTAGTTAATTCAAATAAAAATATATATAAATATATTTTTTATAAAACTGAATAAAAATCTTATCACGAGAAAGATATGATAAATATTATAAAACAATTATATATATATTTTTTTTGTTGTGAATATAACCTCTAACCAGTTTTATGTTTTGATAAAGTAACATATTGTTTTCTTCTTTATACTGAAAGGAAGGTTCATAAAAAGATGCTGAAGACGCTGATCTATCGGTCATGTTCGATATATTCTTCTATTATTATTTGAATCTTTATTACTTTTATCTTGTTTTTCTTTGAACTTAACTAACTCTGTCAAATTCTGTTTATATATTTTAGTTTTAAATTCCCTAGCGATTCTACTGAGAAATATTTCGTTTGACATGTGCAAATACACCTTTATTCTATAGTCAGATAAATCCTACAAGGAAGTCAGTTAATTATTATATTACGAATCGTTATACTTTATATATCACGTAAAAAATAATTCTATCTGCAAAATACACTATTTTATTTAATTTTTGTTAATCTATGATATTGATTTTATGTTTCGAATAAATTTCAAAGAGTGCGCTGATAATTTTACGTATTTCGTGTTCACTTGTCTTTCTAACGTATAATAAGTTTAAACTGTTATTATGCTGATTGTTAAAGGAACGTTAAAATAGGTTACGTGAGAAATGATATTAAATATGTATAATATTTGCTATTAGATATAGAAGTAATCTATCAACATGAAAATGTATGTATTGATTTGACGTACAATGCACAAAAACAATTTAGAATGAAGACGTAAGTTGAAATTGATTCCTGAGTATTTTGTTTTTAATTCGTGGTAAATTGTATGAGTTTTTGAAGAACAAGTTCTCAACTTTAATGTAATTGACAACATAAAATTAAAGAAATTCACGTGTGTGATACTAAGTATTTTACACTATTGCAGGGTTTAAGAACATTCTTTTTAGATGTTGTTTTGATTGTATAAAAGACTATGTATAAGATGATATCTTTCATTAAAAAAAATGTGTTCAATTATAGTTACAAATGCATATTATTGAAGGTATAATTTCTCTTAATGTTGATGTAGAAATATATTATCTTAAAATATTTCTAAAACAATTATAATGGAAGCACAAACAGATACTTCTGTTTTGCGACCTCCAGTTAATTTAAGAAATATTAATACTGGCAATGGTTTTTATACACCTTTAACTTCATTTGCTGGTATGTATATATTTGTAAAAATAATTAGTCTTCTCAATTATTTAAAATTTCTTCTGAGCTTTTTCTTTTAAACATCTCTCTTGGTGTCTGTAAATTTTACAGAAATGTGGTATCATATATTTTTATGGGCCCTATCTTCTTCAATTTTCGTTCATACTATAGCTGGTGCTATTTGTTTTGCTACATTAAGACAACATAAATATGGAAAGTGAGTATAAATTTGCTACATTGTTCTAATAATGTAAATAAATTTATAACATGATAAATAATATATTGTATCGCCTGATTAAGTTAACAAGTTATAATATAATATAAAAAAGAGCAAATTTTTGATGTGTTTAGAAAATAAAATAACTAGGTAAATTTTCATTTAAAGATTCTTCCCATTGCTGATAATAATAATGGGCATATTATTGCCATTAACATCAGGAGTTCTTAGCTCTGCTGCTGTTGCTTTTGTATACAGAGCATCTCGATATCCACTGCCACCATTGTATGCATTATTTTGGGGTATTGGTCAAACTGTTGTAGCAGGATGTGTTGGATTCACAAGGATACTAGCAACTTTGTAATGTGAATCAAAGTTTGTATGAACGAGCCACAAGATATATTGTTATTCAGGAGTATTATATGTAATTATGTAATGAGGAGTTTTAAAATTTGAAAACAAATGAATAGTATTTTGTTTTAGTATTAGTAATAGTAATTACATAGTATTAGCAATAGATAATAATAGAGTAATGAAATTTGTACATATATGAATGTATAATATTGTACAAATGTATTGAAAATTAGGATTAAAATAATTATAAGATTTTCAAATTAAAATATCAAAGAACATTATTTACTATTTATGTAAAAATGAATAATTTCTAATATAATTTCATTTTTTATTTTTTTATAATTGCAATTTATTGCAAATATAGCATAGTATAAAATTTCTGAATATATTTTTATACAAAATAATAATATTTATATTTATATACAATCACGTGTATTTATTCTCTTGTGCATCATTTTTTAAATGTTGTTTGTAGTTATTTGCAATATTTTTAATTTCTTCTAGTCCAATTTGTAATTCCTTTTGAATGTCAAGCTTTGTTTCTTCATCTGAAGAAGTTAAACTTTTTAGCACCATATCTGTAATGTAATACAAAATATAAGTATTGCAAGTAACTGTATATTAATGATATAATGACATTAAATTATTAAATATTTCATACCGTGATATTTAGATAATATTTCCATTGTTGAGAGTTGCAATTGTGTTTGAAGAAATGAAAGAATAGTAGATACATGTCTTCCAGACATATGTATAACATTTTGCGTTGTTGCTGTAAATAATATACTTGTGATTAGATGTAGTGCTAATGCAGGATCTTGAGTAGTATTAAGTTCTTCTAGTAAGGCTTCTTTGTGACCCAAAATAAATGGTCTTTCCTTCTTTTTATCATATTTTTTTAATACTAAACAACAACTTGCCATTGCTGCATCTACAAAATTTAGGAAATCATCTATAGAATTTCCAGGAATAGATTTATGTATATTAGTTAAAGGTTCTTTCACATCTTCTGGCAAATCAAGCAACATTTTTTGCCTTGTCTCTGTGGTAATATTCTCAGGAAATTGAAGCATATTTTGTTGAGCAGCTAATTTAAATAACTCATTTACAAAGTCGGTAACAAGAGACTTTAGTAAATATTTCGTTAAGGCAGGTTGATTTGTTTTATCTATATGTTTAATGCCTTTGTCAAATATTTTAATATTTGTTACTAGAACATTTAAACGTTCTTCAACTTCGCTTAAATTTGTAGTTTTATTGTTTTGTGCTAATTGTTCTGCAATAGATGTAGCATAGTTATTTACTTTTTGTTCTAAATATAATGCTAATTCATCTACTAAGTCATCAATTACTGACAAATTATCATCTTTTGCAATTTCAGTTTTAATATCTTCTAAAGATATTAGTTTAAGTTCAATTTTAGTTGAAAGAACTTTTGTATTTTCATCATCAGATTCGGCATCGCGATTTTTTCCTTGTAAATACTTTCTCTTAGTAGATTTTGTTTTTGTCTCTCGTCCTTGAGTACCACCACCTGTTTTGCCAGTTGTTGCTTTTTTCCGACGTTCTTCTTTTTTGTTTCCTTTATTTTCAAATATTAAATCTGCTGATTTAGATTTAATCCTGTTTTCTGCTATTGTTTGGAACCATTGCCCACTAACTACTGCTTCTTTAGCTTTTGCTTCTGCTATTGCTTCAAATGATTTATTTAAAGATTGTAAAAATACATCAGAAATTACAATAGTTTTTGCAAATACATGTGTGTTGTTATTTATTTTTTTTCCCGCAATTTTAAGAAGCATTTCCATATCTTTATCAGAAAATACAGATGGTAAAAGAGGACTTATATCAACAAAAGATCCAGTTACAATAGCTTCTTCAATATTTGAATCTATTTGATCTCTAATATTTGCACCTACTGCAACAGAATGCAAGAAAGCTACATTTTCATTTGGAAAATGGCGTTTAATAAAATTTGGTGGATCTGATATTCCAAGACGTGTAAGCGCATCATATTCTGAAAAATTACATTTGCATAAGACATATCTTACATTTGCTATTATTATATTATAAAATTATTTCAAAACAAAATGTAATACAAACCTAAATAACCATTTTGTTTGTAAAAATTATCTACCCATTCATTTTGACTTTTAGAATATATACTTGGTATATAAAGACTATTTGTTCCTTGCTTTCCTGCTATAACACCAGGAATTTGTTTCATTTCTTGTATGCTATCAAGAATTGCTAGAAATATAGAAAATTATTATGGACATTAATATATTTCATATAATTTTCATATTTTATATTAGGTATACTCACAAAAAAATATTCTTTCAGAAACAGAACATTGTCCTAGAATTGCTGATAATGGTGTAGGCTTTGTAATTGCAGATAAGGCTCCTCTTATTTTTGCTTTATTTCTAGCTATAAAACTTTCTGTATAAAAGACTCTAGAATCTTGGGGATCTTGCTTACCATAAATGCTTTTTCCTAGTTCTCTTTCAATTACCGATTGTAGAAAATCAGCTGGTAAGTCATAATGTATTGTCAACTCTGATACATTGATAAATCCATGTTGCATTAATTTGTCATTGATTTCTTCTGCAATTTTGTTTGTATATGTTTTATCAATAAGCTGTCCAAGTATTATCTTTAATCCTTTATTATGTTTTTCTAAGTCACTTGCTATTTTGGATACTTGAGACAAATTAACATTGAGGATTTGTGATAAGTCAACCATGTTGATTCTTCCACCATGGATGTGTAATTCATCTTTAATTTCCTTGCCAAGATGTTGAGGCGTAATATATTCTTTACCATCATTGGTAAATATTACATCTAATAATTTATTTTCTATTAGCTTTGTTACAATTTCCACGCAATTACGTTCTGACAACCTACGTAGAATATTAAAAGATATTGTACATGAGAAATAAAAATTACAATAAAATGTATAACAATTTTTAATCAATTTACTTAATAAAACAGACTATTATATACATAAATAGATTATGTAGTTAATTATAAAGTTTGTTGTATTGTATAAAATATATTAAAAGTATATCAGGTTAATTGAAATCTTACACATATAAACTAATTTAGGTTTATTTAATTTCATAAAAAGTGCAATTTCATTCTACAGCTGTTTAAAATTGTTTTGTAGTAACTGTACACTACTAATGTAGGAAGAAATAGAGTTATCTGTGTTTCACGAAATTAGATCATACTTTTGTAGAGTAGAACTTAATTGAGCTTTTTGAAAATCAGCTGCTAATCTTTTAACTTCGTCCCAGTCTACAGTACTCATTTTAAATTTTTATAGTTAAATTGCCAGGTTGTACAATTAAACACTTGACACTTCAATATTGATTACAAAATTCATAGAAATACTTATGTAATGTCAATTTTATATTTTATTATGACATCTAGTGTATGTTCAAAGAACTAGATGTAAATTAAATTAATTTCAAAAAGTTTTAAAGTAAGTTGCAAGTGATTAGGAAAGTGATTAAGAAGTTATTGTGAATAAGAAAGAAATGTGTTTTAAAAGTCGACTCAGAAAATTAAAAGGTGTTATAACTTTGGATATTAAATACAAGTATAGAGATTAAGACTAACATGTTATATTCAAGTAAAAACTTTATTGTTTTCTCTGATACAAATATTTTATAAGATAAAAAAGTATTTATCAACTTATTTATAAATAATAATTTGATATTTAGTATTGTTCAATAGAAGTATAGGGTAGAATTTCTTTAAATCTAGACTCTAGATGATATCAGGGATTTTTGGTGAAGAATGTTTTTGGATCAATTTTTAAGTTTGGTTATGCACGTGTATTTGAATATATTGTTATTTCCATGTCACATTAAAAAATGATTAAATTAAGTAATAAAATGCGATATTTTACAGTAAAAAATTTATTTTAAGAACTATTTTATTAGACCATACTGTGACATATTACGAAATTGTGAGGAAATATAAGGTTAGACGATGCATGTCATTTTATTGATTAGATTCCCTATTCTGTTTTATTGATATAATATCAGTTGTTTCAAACATATTGTGTGATTAATAATATGCAGTCATTGAAATTAACAAAAAGTATTAATCGTTTTTCACTAGAAAGTTCTGAAGATGTATAGTGAATTAATTGTTCATGTACCTGTTTGAAATTTTATTTATCAATATTCGTGGTATAATTGAATGGTGACATTATAAAACGATAAATTAAATTAAAAAATAGATATAAATAGAATGACTGAACAGTGTGGCCTCAATAAAAGTGCTTTTTCTGTTATTACTTGTTACATGTAACAAAGTGAATCAATTATACCATTGGTTTAACTAGATCATCATGGTGTGATATATTTTATTTTATTTTGTAATTGGAATGATCATAAATCATATTAATATAAAGTCACAAAGAATTCGTTAATGACATTATATAATCATGAATCACTCATTCCTATTTAAATTTAATTGGTAATAGAATATTAATACTTTGAGCTCTTTTTGATAATAATTTATTATTATATTATCTGCTAGGAAAGATTAAATGTTGTTACTAAATGTATTGATTGATTTTTAATGGTTAATTGTTGAGCTCTTAGTGTTGACAATAATATTATTGTAATATTTTTTATAGTACAGCAGTGTCACAAAATAAATTATATATGCATATTAAATTAATATTGTAATATGTAAGTAAAAGTAATTGAAGTTAGATCATAGTTATTTCATAATTATGTATAAGGCCTCTATGAACATTTATGTAAAATAAAATATATATCTTTTTATAAGAATTATTCTGTCATCTTAGTTATAAGTAACAATAAAGTCATCCTCCAATCATGTTGACATTAATATGATGTTTGTTCTTATATACTTTTATACATTCATATACATTCATATACATTATCATACACATTAAGACTATTATTATTATTAAGTTAAAGTATTTAATATGAAATTGTGAAATTATAAATTTCATATCGTTATACATTGAATAGAATAATGATTTAAGAAAGAAATTTTAGTTTTTCATTATCCAGTTACTTATGTTCTAATGTTCTTTATAAATCATCATACATTATACCATTATGCATTTATTATGTATTCTTTTTTAGTTATTTATTGAGGCCACTCAAGTTTTTCTTTTTTGTTATAGTTATTTACTTTAGATTACTCCAAAATGTGTAACTATGTAATAATAACGTTATATTAAGTATATTATATTACCTATTTAAAAATATTAATTGGATTATTGTATTTTAAATTTATAGTAAATTTTGTGTTGTTATTATATGAGGTACAAAAATTCAGTGCAGTGTGTCTTGAAACTGTTGAAAATGAGATAAGTGAATATTCTAAACATATTTTTAGAAAAAAAAAAACCACATCAATACTATAGGAATGTTTTGAGAAGTGTTAAATTAAAAAATTGATACACGAAATTATAGAATAGTTTTTTTCAATTTTCAATCGATTATTTCTGAGTTAAAAAAAAAATTGCATAGTCAAATTAAGACGGCGAGTAAATTTTATTTGTACAATGTAAGATTGAACTTTTTTACAAAATTTAAATGATAGCATACGATGTTATCACAATATTCGCTTTGAAAATTCAAAGATACTAATTGTGAAATACATTCTTTTTATTGCATTTGCGTTCAGCTTTTATATTTCGTTTCTTGCATTTTTATATTCGCCTGTTTCTTCCACCAGTTTCAGATTCTCGTCGAATTATACAAATAATAGTAAAATAATTATAAACTTTGAATTATTTTTCTTTTATCACAATTCTTATATAATAGATTATTAGTACTCATTTCTTACTACTCTTCATTTGAGAGAGAGAGAGAGAGAGATATTTTCTAGTTTTATGGGAAATAATAGGAAAATATAGATATGTTGAGGTAGGATTCTGTACCTATTCAGAATCTAGCTGAGAAATTACGAAATATTGTGTTAAATTTTAAATTCTCAAAATTACATAGATTGTCTGTTAAATGATCCAAAAATATTACGACGCACTGCGCGATTATCCGTTCAATTCCATTGACTGGTTATGGGAAGAGGATTTCGCTTAGCGATACAGCTATATATATATAGAGCATCCAGATCTGATGTGAAAAATATCGAAGTGGACGCCTTTAGGGAACTACATCACACATTGAAATAGCAGCCGAGAGACGACACCTCTTTCCTCTTTGCCCATTGCTTTCGCGTTATTTGCTCGGCCGTTATTAGCGCGTTAGTCCTCTCTTCTTAACGCGGAACTTTCGACCTCTCGTACGGCTGGTGAACAACGTTGGTCACTTCAGTTTATTCCCGACCCTGTTGTCGGTTGGATCGGTGGAGGGATCGCGGAGAGAGTGGTCGTCGACGAAGAAGACGATCGACGCGACGAGACGCGCGGACACGCGTTATCTTCGCCGCAAGCCCACGCAGAGCAAAAACGAAAAATCTGGTAAAACTAAAAGATCGACGCTACTTTCGCATTCTCAAGCTAAGCTAGAGCATCTGTGTATTTTTCTTTCTCTACTCCATTCTCTCGTCATTCTCTACCACCTAGCCGTTACTGGCTTTTTCTATTCTCGTTCGTTCGCTCCGTCTTACTTTCCAATAGTGTTACGTTTCGGTCCACGCAGAACAGAATAGGTAGTACGTACACTCGTCTTTCAGCTGTGTACTCGAGCACGAACTTTTCGGCGATCATTCACTAGACCGTGTCGTGTCAGCGATCTCGCTCTACGATCTCTCGTGTGTTCAATGTTGACAGAAATTAGAAGCGGAGACACATTGGGACGATTAGAAGCAATGTGATCTTCTGCCACAACCGGTATCGCGTATTGTACTCTATCGATCATTTTCTTTTTTTTTTTTTTTTTTTTTTTTTCTTTTTGTATTTTCTATCCTCGCTTCCGTGCGTGCATGCACATTTTTGCTTATCAGGAATGCCATACGTGTGTCACACTGATAACACGTAAATGCTGCTGGTATATTTATTTTCCGCGTACAATACTTTTGACAAGACTTTCAGATTAAGGTAGATTAGAAAGAATGAATTAGAAAGATTAATGGCTAGTAAAATAGTTTATTAATTATAATTTTTATATTTGTTGTACATATTCCATCCAATCTGTATGTTTGATTATATTACTGTATGCTTGTTTATGATTTTGTACGTGGAACATGTTCACTTAGGATGAATTTTTTTGGTTCCAATTAAATGGAGCTCATCAGCTGATCAACGTAGGCTCCGAGTTGCTCAGCTTCCCTTAATTGGCTGCCCTAACTACTTACGTAGTGTAAAGTGTAATTAATTTTCATTTAGAAGTTAACTTTACTTATCTCCCTTAATTTCGTTTATAATAATTACTTTTAATGGGTATCGGTACGAAATCGAATTCTGATAAATTTGGGAAAAATTCGTAACTTTTATCTTTTTTTTTTTTCTTCTTCTGGAATTTTTATAGAGAAATCTATTTTAATATAATAATTTAACACTTAATAATTTAATAATTTTTAACGATTTTCGAGTGATTTTTATATTGCATATGAAGTATTCTTTGATTTATGGATAATTAGAAATATCATTGAAAACATTCGATTTTCAATTATTTCCCCTGTAGATGTAGAGTTTCTATCGATGTAGAATCAATTATGCTCCATGCAGAATGTGTGAGGAGGTTAATCAGTGAATTTATTGACATGAGAGTCGAAGTATGATATATACTTTACATGCTCGATCCACTCAATTCGAATGCAGATTAGTGTCAAGGTCAAAAGTAGCAGATTTAATAGTTTTCAGCAAGGAGTTTATTGTTGTTATAAGTTGTACATTATTTATAAAACAGATGCACGTTTTGAAAAGTTATCTTTATTTATACGTGTCACGGGACATTTAATTTTGCAATTTTTATCCGTGTTAATAATATTTTATTTGCACGTCGAATGAAAAGTTTATGAAAACCTAACTGGAGAATTACTTTAATACCACCGAGGTAACGCACAATGAATATTTTTTAATAAGGAAAGAGATTTTTTTTTAAGTTTCATTTATCATATTAACAATTAACAGTTATTAAAGAATTCTAGAGAGCTTTCGTTTATTTTTGCGTTTAAAAGAATTAAATTTGTGATCACAGAAAGGAGAGTTGAATTGCTCCTCGATTTTGAAACGTGCTGACGTTTCAAAATTTCTCTGTCGTTTGTAACGAAGAGCGATAAAAACGATTTGACATTTATTTCCATAAGCGTATGCTTTACAAGACGTATGTCTTGCGACCTGCTTACACGCACGTTATTTACACGCAAGTTTTTTCGTAGCTGTACAGATTTATTTTTCCAAGTTCGATTTTACGCGTAAAGTGATCTTCTTGAATGTTACTAATCTTGAGTAACACTGTGACTTGTTCTGGTGGCGTTTATGCCACGTTGGAAATTCGTAATTATGATCTATATGCCAAGAGACAGCTGAATTCGCCGAACTTCTTCGAAGAACTTGGCAAACGATTCCTTTGCACGCAATTGTTAGTTTTCTCTTCCCAATAACAACCTCGTTGTATTATTGAGGCTTCTCTTCAACTAGAATCGGCCGTTTAATTTTAATTGGTTCGTGCTGTTTGACCCTTCTCTCTTTCTTTGTTAATCGCAAGTGATTTTAATGTTATCTTTTGTCAGTTTAAATTCGATGATCAATTAACGTCCACCGAATTACAAGATTTTTATCCATCTTTCGGACTCACGGTTTCAGGAATTATTTTACACCGTGGCGATGTCTTCGATCATTTTCGCAAAAGGGAAAAACGAATGATCGGAAGATCTAGAAAACTTCGAGGAAAACTCGTATTTCAATAATGCAGAAGATATATTAATAATCATATTAATATTAAAAGGACTTAATAAATCGGCCAGAGTAACTTCCTCTTGCAATTATAATTTACAATTATCTTAATTTGCACATACCAGTGTAACACTAGCATAACAGCGTTACCAAGGAAAAAGGATTTAATATATACGGATATACCAAAAATTAATGCACAGACCAATATGAATTTACGAAAAAGGAAGTTTCACTCAAGGACTATCGATTTCGCATAGACTTATTGATTGGTAAAGTTGTAAACTCTTCGAGTGGTACATGATCCACCAGGTGTGCAAAAGTTCTAGATAATAGGTTCTTATAAATTTGGAACGTACGTTCGTGACCTTTGGATTTGCATTCTACTCTGTCAGTAGATTACTATTTTTAAATGTTCATTTAGTTTAGATTGTTCAATCTTTTTTTTACAGAATTTACGTAGAATTGCCGGACGAGTTTCATTAGAAAAATCCTTTCAATAGTAATGACATGTGATAAACCCGCAGCATAGTTAGTCCATCGGCAATCAGTGAACCAGAATTCCTTCTTGGATTTGACTATGCGTTCCTGCCCCCATGACTCAGATGGGCAAATATTCGAAGAGTTCGTTCCGTGTAAAGAAGCAAATTAAAGGCAAACGTTCAAGATCTTCGAGATGAAGTTGCCGAACGAACTTTCCTCAGACACACGACCAACAAGTTTTAATCAATAAAAAAAAAAAAAAAAGAATGCAAATCTCTATAGATGAATTTTATGAAGTCACGTTGTATCAGATACTTTTTGCAAGTTGTATGTTTTCATCAATAATAAATCAGTTGCTCGTTTCTCCGTTCGAAACGCGACCGTAACGGTGCGCCTCTCTTCTAATTCTTCTAGAATTAAACAGACGCGCATGTACGCGCCACTTTTGATCATTATAAATTAGAATACAAATACGACCGTTTAATGTTCTTAGAAAGTTCTTTGCACTTCGTCACTACGATTATACGTGTGCCTCGTCCTGTCGTGTGGTGTGTGCCAATCGAAAATTTGCAACATTCTCAGCTTGCTATGCCCGCGCCGTTTTTATTTCTCTATTAATCGGGGATTGCCACTTTGTCGCGTGAGGCGACATTGTATAAGAAAGTCAACACATCAAGATAAATCGCATTCACACGGATTGGAGTGATCACGCTCTATTAACCCCTCTATTAAACGCGAAATGGAAACGGAATTGCGACTTTCTTCCTGCTTCACATTGTAGATCGCCTCTTCTGGAAACAATTTGTTTTTACATATTCTCCTTCTTCTACAAATATTCTTCCCTTTATATAGTAATGTACTTTTGTTGCACAGTAGCACAGTGTGGACATATGCATCAAAAAAGAGGATAACAGTGCAGTATTATAATTTTTTTTAGTTTGTCTTTTGTTTTTGGCTGAAAATTCTGAAACAGCGCTAAATCACAAATTATCAATATTTGCTCCTTATATTTGTAGTATAAATTCCAAAAATATTTGTACACAATTATTTGAATAATAATATGAAATTATTATAAACGAATAATAATGTAATTAGTGACGTTGAAATTTCGTATATTGGTAGTACTTTTATCAAGGTCTTGGTATTAAGTTGTGGATCACTTAGGAAGACAGAAAAGTCCCACGTGGTGAAAATACTTTTGAAATAGTTACAAAATTTACAGAAATCTTTATTTTTAACTTTTGTTTGGAAGAGACTTTGATTTATTTTTTTTTCTTTCTTTTTTTTCCAATGTTAGTTTAGTAAATGATAGAGTAAAATACATATTTCGCGATTTAGCGGAGAAATTTAGTAACTACTTACGCCATTGGTTTCGATATGGTCGCAGTTTATCGTCGTATTAAATACGCGCATGCTTGATTCGCACATTTATCAACACGTGATAAAAATGTGCGAATTGTTTAGTACCATCTTATGATACAATTGTTCAAACTTTTCCTCTGTTCCTCCCTTCGATTTTCAATGATTTTCCAACGATGAATTTCCAACAAAAATTAATACTACTTGAAGATGAAGTTGTAGACGTTCTTTAATAATAATAAGAATATTTATATTGATGATATTTTTGTCAAATAGATGTAATGTATAATATACAATACACATATGTGTGATATGTAAATAATGTAATTTAATTGGGAAATTAAAAATTAATATGTAGCCATAAAGATGTGTTTTGCATAATACGGATTATTTAATATGTTACTTAAGTGCATGTGTCATGCTTTCTATCAGACGGATGCTAATTGCAAGTACATGAAATGCAATAATATAGCGGATCAATGAACTTTCGACGTCGTTTTCTGATATTTCATGAACGCTTCACCAATGAAACAAAAGATCATTCAAAGATATTTGCTACTAATAGATTAGATATTGGCAAACTGATTGCAATAAACGAATGAAAGCTAAATCCAATTTCTCAAACCAAAAGATTTAAATTCGACGATCATTTTAATAATAGTTTCAGCTATGGTAGGAATTTCAATGGAACTTCTGTACGTAAATATTTGATAATGGTTAAAATTAAATATCACGTTCTGGATATTCCAACATGTGCCTTTGACGTGACTTCTCGTCAGCGGGAACAATAATTCAGCGACAGCAAGCGTACGTTTGCAATGAATTACAGACACACGTCAAGAATTTCTCCAGAGAGTAATAAATTTTACAGTTGTTATGATCTATCAGTTATTTGGGAGCAAGAAAGCTTAACATCCTTCAAAAATAGCCTGCGAGAATGTTTTTTTTTTTTTTTTTTACCACGGAGACGCCGTATAAATAAACTTTAGAAGAATGTTTATTACGTTAATTTAATCTTACATTTTTACCCGCCCTTCTTTTTCTAATCCTAATAATTTTAGCCATTCTCTACTGAACTAAGACTGTCGCGAGATTGATCTTTTTTCGTCGCGACATTTCCTCTCCTCTAAGAAGCTTCAATTTTCTTAATTTTCCCCACAGATCGCGGACACCTGTCGCACGACAAAAAAGCTGAACGATGACAATCGCGGAGAACGCGGCGGAGTCGAAGAGGAACTCGATGGTAGTTCCTAACGCGAATGACGTGGTCCTTGATCGACATCCTCTGACCGAGGAGCCGCAACGAGGTCCAGAAGAGACCTCGAATTCAAGCACGGAGGACAACCCGCTTTTAGTGGCCGATCGGAAGAATTCGTCGGTGAAAATTGACATGTCGATCACGAAGTCGAAGAAGACGGACAAGGAAGAGGACAATCAGTTGTCGATGGTCACCGTGAGGAAGAATGTTGACGATCGAGACGCGATCGTCCCACCGGATGGTGGCCTGAGAGCATGGATGATCATGATTGGCAGTTTCGTTATCAACGGTGTTCTGTTTAGTGTCATAAATACATACTCATTGATCTACATCGAGTTGCAGAAGAGTTTGCTAGAATCTGGAGAAACGGCGGCATCCTCGAAGGCGGGTGAGTTCAGTGACTATTTTTCTCTCATTAGCCGATACTTAGTCTTAGACAGGGCAGGGAAATTTTGTTCGAATAGTGCAAAACAACTGATAACAGAAATTAATCGATAATGTGGATAACAACAGTGGATTTACAGTTTAGTTGCATTTTTTTCAATCGTCGCAGCTTTTAGAAATGTCTGATCTGTTTATGTAAATTAATGCAAAAGAATGTAAATCGATTCATACGGAATATACAGAATACTATTTTCTTTTATTAACGAGTATTAAGAATGTAGGAAGTCGATTGATTCAAACGAAATGAAATTAAATACACTGTATAGATTGTAATATTTGCGAACGCTTGTTTTATGTTACTTTTGATTTTATATAGAAAAAAAAAAAAAAAAAAAAGGAAAAAAGAACTAAGATTAGAGTTGTGAGAAAATATGGAAAATCGTGTTCTTTTACATACACTGTGGTCAATCATTGTCCCAAGCACTTGCTCGGTGCAGTCAATGAACCGCGCGTTATCTCACTATTTTTATTATTTATTAATTTTTATGTCGATAATACGGTATCTAATAGTTTCATTTGCAGATCATTGAACTGTAGATATTTACTATAATACTATAAATTGACAATATATTTCTTTTTTTTCAATTATATTTCTAAGTAACTATCTTGCACGTTTCATGTCCGACTCAGCTATTGAGTTATAACATTTTACGTGAAATTTAAAATCTAAATTTCACACGAAATTTTCCTTTAAACAGAAATTGATACAGAAAGAATGATTCTAGTATAGATTACGTTCAAAAGTTTATTCTTTAAAGACGTAGAATCTTTCTTGTAAAAAAATATCATCGTTAGTTGACTGTATCAATTTATTTGAAAAGGTACTGGACTTTTTAATTGATCTTCATTAGTTTGCGCAAATTAATTTTTAACTAACCATAGAATGAAACAAATAGGATCGTATTCTCTTTACGGACACTAAAGAAAAATAAAGTCTATCTATGCATCACTAAATGTGCATTTGGATGAATTAACAAACAAGTCAAGCAATAGATGATCAATGAACGTTCTAATAAGAATGTGAACGGCGAAACGGTATAATTGGATCGTTAATTCGTCCGTGGCCTAAATCCGACGTTTCAAGACTAAATTCTATTGATGTTTTCCGAGACTTAATTATTGTTAAGTGAAGTATAGAGCAGTTACTTGGTGTAGCGTATCAATTAAACTGATCGATCGGGACTAATCATCCGTAGAGTCAATGCCCTGGACAACCTGGATCTAAATTAATCGGCAATTACACGAGCATTAATAATAACGAGGGTCAAATAATATTAAACTAGGGGTAGTTACTCTTGAAAATAGAACTAGATCTTTACTAAACGATACGAACTCTGAACGACGTCTAAGATCATGGATAAATGATTATTCTTGCCTCTTATCGATGCTGATATTTATTCGCGTTCATTTCGTTTATATATATATACATACATACATTTTTGTATTTCGATATTCTCTGTGAATATTTTTACTTCGACTTTCTGACTGAACTGGTTGATTTATTTTAAAATTTCGACAGAATTTATATACTTTTCGACGTGTATTTGCTTGTCAATTGAAATCAATTGATTTCTATATTAATTTCTAACCTTCGTTTTAGTTTGTCCGATTGGAAGAATTTTCTTTCTAGAAATTTCTTCAGCATTGCTCCCATCATTTCTACGTCGCAATTTCGATCTCGTTTCCAACAAACAATAATTAAGATCACGGGGAAAAAACTTTGTTTTTGAACAAAGATGGAAAATGAAAGTAATATATGAAAATAAATCAATGGACGCAACACGGTTGTGATCTAATGAGAAAAATCTGTTTTATTTCGAAATACGTTTCATTGTGCTCTATAGAATTTAGTATAAAGAGCTTGAAAGTAACCAATATCAAGATCAAAGTGAAAGTACATCGATAGCGTGATAGAACTTCTGTTATCAGAATTTCCATCGTTCCAATATTTTACAAATATCGGCACATTCCGCCATTCAAATATTCTATTATATATATATATATATATATATATATATATATATATATA